GAGAGAGAGAGAGAGAGAGAGAGAGAGAGAGAGAGAGAGAGACCTGCAGACAAGCCCCTGTGACTCACCTTCAACAGGAACTCCTAGTAACACACTCAACTGAGAACTCACCAATGGATTAGCCCCTCCTGAAAAAAGGAAACTTTTGGGAGACGTTTGTGTTGTATTACTACGGGAGCTGTTCCTCTCCATTCAGTGGGCTACAGTGCACAGTGAGGATGAAAAGCTTAAATGACACACTTGTATCTAGGCCTGGAGGGGTAGCATACACACACAGGTGAGGGGCCCAAGGTCTAGAAGATAAATTCGGGTGATAATTTAGGACAATCCAGCACTCGGGAGAACTACTGGGACGCCGTTTAAGTAAAATCAACCTGTAAAGTCTTGGTTCCTAAAGTACTTTGAGGTCCAGAAGAACTGGGTTGGAATAGGGCCCTGCTGTTAATCAGTTTGCTCTTAGGGAAATGAAGCGAACACCCACTTTCCAGGATGGAGATCATCACACCTGAAAAGCATCAGAAGCAGCGCGATTTGCTGACCACTAGATTTGCTGATCTCTAGATGGGCACCATTTGTTTGCATTTCTAACCAATATCAAGGTGATAACGATGCTGCTGGTCATTGCAGGGACCCTAAAAACCACTGTTCGGAGAGAACCAAGTGTCTGAAGTGAGACTAGCACGAGGCCACCGAAGGCCGCTACTGCTACGGTCTTTCTAGCCGGCAGGTGCCTTCTCCCAGGATCCTGACCCACGCAGTACAACCCAGAGACCACCGCGCCTTCACCCCGCAGGCACCCGGCCAGCGCGAGGGGGCGTGGCAGCATCGGTGGGCGGAGCAGTCTGTGGGCGTGGTGAAGGGCGGGGCCAGGCGTGCTCATTGCTGCGCCTGCGTGAGGAAGGCAGAGGGCGTGGCTCCGGCTCCGGGCCGGAAGCGAGAGGCTGCCTAGGTGGGCCGGCTGGCGTCCCCTTTCCGGCCGGTCCCCATGGAGGCGCTGGGGAAGCTCAAGCAGTTCGATGCCTATCCCAAGACTCTGGAGGACTTCCGGGTCAAGACCTGCGGGGGCGCCACGGGTAGGCTGCAGCGGGGCCGGGGTTGCGGGGAGACGGGTGTCCTAGAGCGTGGCCGGAGCGCCTGGACTCTGCACGGCCTGCTAGTGTCTGAGACAGTGCAACAGAGGCCATTCTGACCCTCGCTCCCCGCCCTGCAGTGACCATCGTCAGTGGCCTTCTCATGCTGCTACTGTTCCTGTCCGAGCTGCAGTATTACCTCACCACTGAGGTAAGGGGTGGGGTGTAGCACGCGGGCAGACGGGGCGGAGCATTCTAAGGTAGGACCTTTGGGGTGGCAGTGGGGGCCGAGAGGCAGGGGCCCAATCGGATGACGTAGCGCTGCCGCAGGTGCATCCAGAGCTCTACGTGGACAAGTCACGGGGAGATAAACTGAAGATCAACATCGATGTCCTTTTCCCGCACATGCCTTGTGCCTGTGAGTACCTCAGCAGGGGTGGCAGTGGGAAACCCCAGAGTTTCCAGGTGGGCTTCTAGATTCTCACCTCCAGCCTTAGAATGTGGACTGGAACCCAGGACAACCTCTTTCCCCTGGGCTGATTTTGGCTCTGCCCTTACACAACGCAGGTTCTTTTCCTCCAAAATCCAGGCCTCCCTACCCTAGCGTCCTGGTATTTAAACTTGATTTTCTGCTTCCAGATTTGAGCATCGACGCCATGGATGTGGCTGGGGAGCAGCAGCTGGATGTGGAACACAACCTGTTTAAGAAACGACTAGACAAGGATGGCATCCCCGTGAGCTCAGAGGCCGAGCGGCATGGTAACCAGGCTGGGGGCTGGGTCTTGGGTTCTAGAGCTGGACATACCCAAGGCTTACCTTCTGGCAGGAAGACTATGCTCATGGCTCATGGCTCATTGACATTAAAGAGCTAGTGCCTAGAGAAATCAACTTGCTTGCCCAGCGTACCCCACTATTGAGAATCAGAACCTGGGATGGTGGCACACAGTTGTAATCCCAGCACTTGGGAGGCTGAGGCAGGAGGAGCGCTGCAAGTTCAAAGCCAGTTTGGTCTATGTATTGAATTCAAGCACAGTCTGAACTACATAAAAAGTCCCTGTCTCAAAAAAAAAAAAAGGAAAGAATTAGAGTGGAGCCATCCATGAGAGCATGCTCCTGTAATCCCAGCTACTCGGTAGGCTGAGGCAGGATGATCAAAAATTCCACACCAGCCTGAGCAACTTAAGGAGACCTTGTCTCAAAATAAAAGACTGAGGATATAGGTTGGTGCTACAGTACTTACCTAGACTACACAAGGCTCCCGATTCAATCCCTGGTCCTGAGGGAAAAACCAAAACAGAGCACATGGGTCCAGCCTTTATATATTAAGTTGTGTACTTCACCTGGCTTTTGTTGTTTATTGTACTTTGAGTAACAGAAGCTTAAGGATGGCCCTTCTAAACCTGAGTATTTGCTTCCCCAGCCACTGGCTGCATTCAGCCCTCAGTACTCTTTCCTTTGGAATGCAGGCAGCCCAAGGTTACAGTTGAGGTTCTCAAGGTCTAGTTTTGTCTCTTGCCTCAGCTCTGAAGTGGTGATAAACATTAGTACTTTGTCCCATGGGTTAGAGGATCAAATAATACAGAGATGATCCCGTAGAGCTGTCTGGCCTGAGATTGTTTTGACTTGAAGATGGTGTAACAGTTTATCTGTACAGCTGTTCTGTTCACTTTTGGTAGGGTAGTCAGTAAATAACTAGAGGTATTCAATAATTTTTATACAATTTTTTAGGCTTTGTAGTGGATGGTTTTACCCAACTTTAGGCTAATGTAAGTAATTGAGTATGTTTAAGGTAGGATAGGCTAAGTTATGATATAGGTTAGTTGTGTTAAATGCATTTTTAACTTACCGTATTTCAACCTCTTTCTTTCTTTCTTTCATTTGTTCGTTCTTTTGAAAAAGTCTTTATGCATTTAGGCAGGCCTTGAACTCGCAGCCAACCTCCTACCTCACGTTTTTGTTTTTTGCAGAACCAGGGATTGAACTCAGGCCCTTGCACTTGCCAGGGAAGCGCTTATTCCACTGAGCCATCTCCCCGGCCCCTACCTCACGTATTTTAACTTATAATGTTTTATTTAGTACTTAACCCCATCATAGGTTGAGGAGTGTCTATGTGCATATTATTTATTTTTTAAATTTTTATTCTATATTTTAGGGAAGGGTCTATAGGGTGTTCAGGGTCTCACTACTAGATTGGACTCGTAGTGATTCTCCTGTTAACAGCCTCCCAAGTGCTGGGATTACAGGCATGTGCCACCATGCCCATTGCTGTCTCAGTGTGTGCCGGAGGTGGGGCTGGCACAGCAGGATTGAACCCCCGGCTCCTGCGCGTGCTTGCTGGCACTTTAATCTGCTGAGCTATTTGGCTGTCTCTCACATCTATGTGTATAAAGTAACCGTTAGCCTTCTTTGGTTTCTCTGAGCAGCTTCCTGTAGCAATTGCTTTGTTATTCAGCTTCTGGTCCATCTTCATAGAGTTGCTATGGGGGTGAAATGAGATGATGTATGTGAAGTACAGTGAACTATATGTAGCTACTGTGTAGCATATACTGTTAAAGTTGGTGTGTGTGTGTGTGTCTTACAGGGATTGAACAAAATCTTAGCCCTTTTTTTACCCTAAAGACGGAATCTTATTAAGTCCCTAAGTTGCACAAGCTGAGCTCAAATTTACAGTCCTCCTGCCTTGGCTTCCCAGAGTGCTAGGATCACAAGCAAGGATCACCATGCCCAGCCTTTTATTTTTTATTAAAATATAATACAGATAGATGTAGGTATAGATATATAGATTGCTGCATGCCTGACATACTATGTAAATGTTAGCTGCTGTTTTAACTTCAGGGTCCCCCACCTAATGGCCAGGGGACCTGTGCAGAACTAGGGCTAGAGATGTCACTCTCTGTGCCCCCAGTTGATGCCTGTGCCCTTGCCCCTCCCTTAGAGCTGGGGAAAGTCGAGGTGACGGTGTTTGACCCAGATTCCCTGGATCCTGACCGCTGTGAGAGCTGCTATGGTGCTGAGTCGGAAGACATCAAGTGAGCCACACCCGGGGGGCAGGAGCAGGATTCCCATCCCATGCCGCCTGTTAGCCTCGGCGTTAGGCAGACTGGCTGGTAGGAGGGTCACACCAAGAATCAGTGCATCCCACAGTTCGTGATGTGGTGCACATAATTAAGCCCCTGCCTGGGAGTAGCAGACCTAGGAGGGCTCAAGTGGTCTCTGCTTTTCAGTCTTGAAAAATGGTTCAGAGGTGTGCTCTCTGGAGTCCAGCTACCTGGCCGCCACCTCAGGCCAAGCCACTTCACCTCACTATGTAGATTATACAGAGACTGAACATATATTGTATATAAAGCCCTGATGTGGAAGGCCCAGTCCAGACCTCCGTCCCAGTGTCTGCTCACTGTTGCATTGTTTCACTGGCTGTGCCCTTTTGGGAGGCTGACTCAGCAGGTCTGGGTGGGGCCTGGGAATCTGTATTTTAAAGTTTTTAAGGAGTAGGCTGGGGATGTGGCTCAGTGCCTACCATGTGGAAGGCCCTGATTTTGATCCCTAGCAATGCCCAAAGAAGTTTTTTTGGTTGTAAAATACATGTGACATAAAACTTGTTATTTAACCTTTCTGTGTGTGTGTATGTGTGTGATGCTGGAGACCAAGCCCAGTTCCTCATAAATGTTAGGCAAGTGCTCTGCCACTGAGCCATGCCCTTGAGTGGCATTAAGTATATTCACAGTGTTTTGTAGTCGTCACCACTGTTTGTTCAGCACACAAACAGAATGAGGAATGAGGACATGGATTTTTAATAGCCCTCTACCACTAAGGACACACTGAAGACCCGTTCACGGTTGGGGTGGGCCGGCTGGTGGAGGCTCCGTAGCAGGCTGCCCTGCACGGCTGCTCGGCCTTTGTGGCCTGAGCTCCCTGCACTGGCCTCGGTCCCAGCGGCCCCTGTCCCCCAGGTGCTGCAACACCTGCGAAGATGTGCGGGAGGCCTATCGCCGGCGCGGCTGGGCCTTCAAGAACCCAGACACCATTGAGCAGTGCCGGCGCGAGGGCTTCAGCCAGAAGATGCAGGAGCAGAAGAACGAAGGCTGCCAGGTGTATGGCTTCTTAGAAGTGAACAAGGTACCAGGAGGGATTAGGGCAGCGCGGGTGGAAGCCAGGACCCATTCAGGTCCTCGGGTGGAGAGAGGCCACGGCCGGGAGTGAGAGGGAGTCTCCCCTACAGGTGGCCGGAAATTTCCACTTTGCGCCTGGAAAGAGCTTCCAGCAGTCTCATGTGCATGGTGAGTGAGCTGCCTGTGTGGGGCATTTGAGACCCTCATGCCCTGCCTCACACAGAGAAGCTGAGCTGGGTCAGAACACAGCTTCTGCACTCCTGAGCTGGGTCATGTTTGGCAGTTAGGGACCCTACTCAATCTCTTCTGTGAGCTGGGAGTACTAATACGCTACTTCCCCTTCAAGGATGTTGGGATGCATAAGATTTATTGTGATGTGTTTGTTCATTCATGCATTCACAGACATTTAGTGATCAACTATTAAATGCCATTTGTTAGTTTAGGTCAGTAAAGGTGAACCTTTTAGAGCTTTCTGTGGTACAACGCCTGCTGTACACACATGCCATAGGCTAGCCACCTTTGGTCTAGGTGGTAAGATCCAGTAGTCAGTTAGGTCCCTTCCCTGAGAACATTCTACTAAAGAAACAGGTATGTAAAATGTGTGATGTATGAGGCGGTACATATAAAGTAACGTGGACTGAAAAGAGATACGATAAAGGCATGGAGACAAGGGCTAAGACAGGGCAGTGTGTGTGCTGTTTTAGGGTAACCAGGGAAAGACTATATTTGAGGAAAGAACTGAGGAAAGTGGGGGTGCCAGCCACGCTGGGGTCTATAAATGCCAGTTCCAAAGGCAGGAATGCATAGGGAGTTCAGGTACAGTGGGGATGGGTGGCCGGCACGAAGGAGAGTGTGTGAGACACTCTGCAGAGGCAGGCAGGGTGTCGAGTGGCCTCAAGGCCTGTAGCCCTCCAGGGAGGCAGTGCTGAGAAGGCAGAGCTTGTCTGCTCCACTGCTGGCCGAGTCATGGACGTGTGGAAGGATGCTCAAACACAGGACCAGCATTGCCCCAGGCTGGAGATCTGCCTGAATTGGGAAGCTATGCTCTGACACCCTTTCTGACTAGTGATGGGGCTGGAGTGGCATTATGTCTATTGTAAAGTTTACCAAGTATTTTCTGTTGTGGATCCTCCCTGGTCCTTACAATAGCCTTTTGCAGAAGAAAGTAGACCCAGAAAGAAAGACCATCGATTTGCCCAAGATCACCCAGCTAGGAAAGGGGCTCTCCAGCCCTCACGTCCTTTTTGTCCCTAGGCCAGCATACTTTGTCCCCCACCACTCTTGTACTCTTCTCCTGTGGCCAGGGAAGGACTCACTGAGAGGGGCCAGGGAGAAACTCGTCAGCCAGGGCACACCCTGAGGCAGGAAGATTTCAGTCCTCTCTCCTGCCATGTATCTTGCTCCATAGTTCTCACTGTTGTTCTCTTCCTCCCTTCTCTCTCCTTCCCTCCCCCATGCTGCAGTACATGCTGTGGAGAGTAAGTGGCCCTGTCCCCGCCAGGGAGGCCAAGCCCCCACTTCTGGGGCAGCTGCCTTCCTAGGATGGGGAGGCTTGGAGGGGTTTGAGATTGGGCCCTTCTCTGGTTTGGCTGGTGATGACTATCTAAAGCACTGGGACATGTCTTTGAGGTAGGGTCCTTGCAGCAGGAGGGGTTGGGGTTAGAAGGCAGGAAGAACTTGTTCTAGAAGAGCTGGTACAGGTGCTTGTAGTGTTCCCTTTGGGGAACTTTGAGCTAGGAACAGGGGAGAGCTTAGTATCCTCATGTCCCAAGCACTGTGGGGTTAGTGATTGGCATTTGGCTCTAGTTAATGAGAGGCAGAATCAGTGGGTTTTGTTTCCTGAGATACAGGCCAGGCATTGGTGGGAATAGAGGTTTGGAGTTTGCTGTGTATGTCAAGGAGGAACACAGTGTCTGTGTTCTTATGACCTCCTGAGGAGGGTGTGGACCTTCACAGGCCCAGGACAGGCCATTCCTTACTATCCTTAAGCAGGACCAGGAGGTGCCAGGCTTGAGGGTGATGAGGGAAGAGAAAAGGGCCAAGTGGGTCACACTCCAGAGGGAGGAATGAGGTGGCCTCAGGGAGGACTCTGAGGGAGCCAGGAGGCTGTCCTCCTCTGATGACCACTTCTGCCTTCTCTCCTAGTTCATGACCTGCAGAGCTTTGGCCTTGACAACGTACGTACAGAGGAAGCCACGGAGGGTGGGTGGAGGGGGTGCTCCACTGTGCTTTCATTGCTCTGAGGGGGGCACATAGAGAACAACAGGCCCTGTTCCCCCGGGGACCCCGCCTGAGGGCGAGTTTGAGTGACTTGTAAACTGTCATGGGGCCGGGGAGATAGCCCAGTAGAATAAGTGCTTGCTAGAGTTCAATCCCCAGTTCCACAAAAATAAATAAATAAAAATAAAAACTCTTTAAAAAATAAAATAAAATAAATTGTCTTGTGAGCAGTCCAGGGACAAAGATGGGGTTGGACAGAAGCAGCATAGGGAACCTTGGGGCAAGACCAGGAGAGACTGTGCACCTCTGAGGAATGGCAAGGGCAGCTGTGGATGAGTGAGGCTGAGGATCTTGTGGGGACAGGTGAGAACACACTGGGTCCCGAGGCCACCCGGCAGAGTCTGATCTTTCCCCCAAGAGCAGAGGAAGACCGTTGGCCTACCTGAAACAGGATCATAGCATAATCAAATACATACTATTGAAAGATCCCTAGAGTGGCTGAGTTTGATATAGGTCAGGACAGGGAGTACAGCTGAAGATTGGGGACCTCCAGCCTCGGCCTTCATGGTTGAGGTCCCCAGGCAAAGCTGGCACGTGCCACTCTGGGTTAGTTCCTGGCCTATGTGCATGCAGTATCCTAACCTCTGCCTCCTCAGGAGCCTGTGGACTGTGAGGAAGAGGTCCTGGGTGGGAGTGGTGGCTGCTTCCCCCCTTCTTCCTCTCCCCACCTGCACACTCAGGCATCCAGTCCCTGCTATAATACTGAGCTTGGCATGGGCTACGGATGGCCTGGGCCTCAGGCTGGTGTTGCTTGCAGATCAACATGACCCACTACATCCAGCACCTGTCATTTGGTGAGGACTACCCAGGCATTGTGAACCCCCTGGACCACACTAATGTCACTGCACCCCAAGGTACTGGCCCGAGATGTGCCCCCCACCACTGCAAAAAGCCCAGCCTGGCACCCATGCCTGTGCTTTCTTCTCCCTGCAGCCTCCATGATGTTCCAGTATTTTGTGAAGGTGGTTCCCACAGTGTACATGAAAGTAGATGGGGAGGTGAGTCAGAGGGACCTCTGCTGTCAGTCACCTGCCCTGTGCCCAGCACCTGAAAGTCCCTTCAGTCAGGGAAGTGAGTGCTGCTGTGTCCCGTGCCTTCATAGGAAGAGGCAGGCCCAGGCCTGGACTTTGGAACCCTTGCTCGATCTTGTGCCCAGACAGGCTCCGTCCATCATTTTGGTGTCTCCTGTGCACCTATCTGCTCTGGGCCGCAGCTTCCGCAGACCAAACTTCCTGAGCCTTGCACCACTCACACTGGGGCCTGTAGAGAAGGCTCTCCTTGGTGTAGAATGTGAGGGGCTGAGGGGCAAGGGTGTCAGTCCTGCCTTAGGACATGGCCTTGGAGTTATCTGTTAACCTGGACCTCCATAAAAATAGCCCCCAGTTGGAGCTTGGACTGATAAACTGTAGCAAGGTGGTGATCAGTGGGGAAACAGGCTGACAAGGCTGAGCCAGGGCCCCTAGGTGGTGCCTAGGTCTTGCAGAGTTGGTCACCAGCATGGTGCCTCTTTCTCCCCTCCACACAATCAAGGCACAAGTGAGAGGCGGGAGCAATCCCAGGGCTGGAGAGTTGGGGTCAGGCTGTAGCCCAGCTCTGGCCCTGGCTCCTTTCTCACCCTAGGTGCTGAGGACAAATCAGTTCTCTGTGACCAGGCATGAGAAGGTCGCCAATGGGTTGCTGGGAGACCAAGGGCTTCCCGGAGTCTTCGTGCTCTACGAGCTCTCACCCATGATGGTGAAGCTGACAGAAAAGCACAGGTAATGTGGGTGGAGACAGGAGGGGCCAGGGCCTGTGGGAGCGGGGTGCCCACTGAGCCTGCTTCCTCTGGCAGGTCCTTCACCCACTTCCTGACGGGTGTGTGCGCCATTATTGGGGGCATGTTCACAGGTAAGAAACCCCAGGTGTCTTGGGGACACAGCCCAGAGGGGAGTATAAAGCCTGATCCTCAGGTTTTGGCTGGAAGGAAGGGGCATTTCAAGGGCCAAGAGGGATACTGGTCTGGCCAGTTGGGAGTTGGGGCTTGCTAGATCAAGGTGCTAGCCCTGTCTCTCCCCCAGTGGCTGGCCTCATCGATTCACTCATCTACCACTCAGCCCGCGCCATCCAGAAGAAAATTGATCTAGGGAAGACAACGTAGTCCTCTTCTTCCCCTGTGGTTCATCTTTCTCCTGTTTCTCTTCAGCCTATCGTTATATCCCTCAGCCTCTTCTGTCCCCCACACTCTGCCTCCCCAGCCCCAGGGTGATAAATATTGTGATAGTATTCACTGGTCTCTGAGTGATTCTTGGGTCTGGCTGGACCGGGAGGCTAGCCCATCATTTAGCCACTTACTGAAGTCTCTAGGTTCACTGGTCAGGGCGCTCTTGCCCTCTGACAGCCCTCATGTGGGCACCTGCTAGCTGATGGGGTTTCATTCATCCCAGACTGATGTCCACTAAGTAGCTGAGTCATGGGTCGCTCTGCTGTGATCACCCTGGCCCTCAGGCCTATGAGTGGCTGACACCTAGTGCTCTGAGTAAAGGCTAGGGTTTGCCATCTCTGGTGAGAGCTACAGCTGGAACTACACCCCATGACCATGGACTCAACCATAGACTCAGTCACCTGACCTTATGCTTACTGACCCTGCTCTGCCAAGCTTCACACTGGCCCTTGACACACAGAAAAGTACATCCTGGTCCTTGGAGGCTCCTGGATGGAAGCAAGGAGGGAAGATGGCAGAGGCCCTCTGGAGCAGCATCAACCCTTGTGTGTGGAGAGCTGTGGTCCAGCAGCCTCGCCACTCCACAGCATGGCAAGCCTGGACGGTAGCCCTTGCTCAGCTCATCAGAACAGGTCTCGGCGTGACAGCACCAACACAGCACAGAGATACACATGCTGAGAATACAGTAATGACACCAGAACCCCTGCGATGACCCAGGAGCAGCTTGTCCTTATGAACACGTCATGGGGGGGGTGACAGCGCTGGCTATGTGAGCCTTGTTTCTGGTTCTTCAGGAACCATTGTTGTTCACAGCACCCCAAATTTCCTCTAGGAAACCTGCTCATCCTCCTAGCTTGTGTGGTTTGGGAGGGCTGGTGTCCCACTCTTAGTTTTCCTTGGCCACAGTGACCAGAACAAGTCAGGCCCTGTGGAGAAGAGGGTCACTGTCTTCTCTTCTGGGTAGAATAGGGAAACAGCAGTCCTATAGTTCCAGGGGGAGAAGCTGCCTGCGAGGGGCAGCAGAGCTGAGCCAAGAGCAGAGACATCTGGCTTCAGTGACTGCCTGTGCCCGAAGCCCCAAACCCATTCCTTAGGGTTGGTAAGGAATAAATGAAGTACCACAGTGCATCCACTGGAATGGCAGTAAGTACCACAGGCAGATAAGAGGGCCCTGGGCCCAGGCAGGAGTGGGCAGGAGGTGGCCTTCCTGAACGCTAACTGTCCAGTGGTAATGGATGCCCTGGGCCCCCGACCAGTCCTGGGCTTTCATCTGTGTGCCTTTTAACAAATCCCCAGCACCTGAAACCACGCAAGATCACCCATGTGCTCTGCACCCAGCCCACACAACCCCCAGAATCAAGGTCTGATGGACATGGGAGTTTTATTGAGAGAAAGCACTGACCTCCGGGACAACACACATTAGCAGAGGGACTTGTGTCCGGGTCAGTTGGAGTCAGAGGGTCTGTGGAGGGGCCTAAAGATGACTTGGCTGATCTGGCCTGGCATGGTGTAGAACACGAGGAGGAGGAAGACGGTGACGAGTGCCAGCACCAGCAAGAGCACCAGGATGCGCCAGTACCGGCGCAAGATGAAGAAGACGAAGGTCTTCAGGGGGTTCACAAGCCAGTTAAAGGAGGTTTTGGGGCGGCTGTGGACAGAAGGGCAGAGTCAGGACAGCCAGGAGACCCCAGCTCCCCCTCGGCTCAGTCCAGCTGGGCCCACTCACTTAGGCTTCTCCAGGGGCTCTGGCTCCTTCCGCCCCTTCCCCACTGGCCGCTTCTCCGCCTCCTCTACAGTCAGCAGCTCGAACTCTGCCTCCACCTTCCCCTAGAAGAAGACAGCTGTGTGTCGCTGGGCGGAGAGGCCAAGCGCTCAGCCAGGCCTGGGTCCCCACACTGCTTGCTCACTGTGAGGATGTAGACGTTGCCGCCAGAGTCTGTGAACTGCAGGTCTTCAGGCCTGCCCTTCCTCTTCTTCCTCTTTCTCTTCTTGCCAGCCTTTGCCTCCTGCTCCTCTCGCTCCACATCCTCTGCCTCTCGCAGCTTCACGACGGGCCACCAGCCTCGCAAGCGGCGGCAGCGGAACAGATTGCACCTTGGCCCAGCCCTGTCACAGGCCAGCCGCACAGAGCACTGTGCAGGGGTCCGGGAACCCCGCACCATGTCTGGCAGCTGTAGCTCCAGGGATCCTGCAGCATCAGAGCGCACTGGGTTAGGTGTGAGATCTGAGTCTAACCACCCAGGGCTGAGCAGGCTGCTGGCAGGGCTGTGCACCAAAATTAGGATGTGGCCATCAGGCCACAGCCATGGACCACACCACGGCCAGCAGTGGGTCACGTCCCAATGGAAGAGGGCCAGGGGCTGGGGTCAGATCACCAAAGTAAGGGTCATGGGGTCTAGGGTGACTTCAGCGAGAGTAACATTAGAGGACTAAGGCAAGGACTGTGAGTACAAATGTAAGTTACGATCCTCAATCCAGAAAACAAAGGTTCAGCCCTGTGGTCTGAAATCCCAGGACTCAGGGGTGGCATAGAGTAGGGAACCCAGGGACACGGGTGGCAAGGGGTGGTGGGCAGTGAGGGCAGAGATCAGGGAGAAGGCTAAGCAATACCAAGGAAGTCGTTGGCGGAGATGCGGTCATAGTCCCAGACCTGCAGCACCAGCACAGCCGGCTGCCGGAACTCAGCCTCCTCCAGGGCGAAAGGTCCGGGTCGGCGCCGGACGCTCACCTCCCGCTCCGTGGGCAGGTAATCAAAGCGGAACACAAAGCGCCAGTTGAAGTTCCCCTCCCCAGTCAGCGAATTGAAGTGGACATCTGTCTCCTGTTTGTCATGCTCCAAGCCCTTCATCCAGCTGACCAGAGGAAGGGACAGGGCTGGGGCCCAGAACCTGGCTCCTCACTCAGCTCTAGGCATGCCCAGGGCTTGAAGGTAGGCTCTGAACTCAGCCAGAGCCCAAGCCCCTGCTTGCAATCCCCCCTTGTGTAGTCAATGTCCAACCTGCCTGAAGACCTACCTTTTCACATAGATGTCACTTGACATCTCTCCAGTAAGTGGGTTGACATCATCCAGAACCACATCTTCTGTGTTCCAGATGACAACTCTGAGCTCGTAACTGGGGGATGTATTAGGAGATGGTTTTCAGACTCTTTAGAGGGGTCTTGGAAGGGACTACGGGAAGCAGGGACTGGGGCCAGGGGTGCTAACATTCACTGAGCATCTGATGTCTACCCAGTTGGGTCATTAGTATGCCTGTGCTCCTATAAAAGGACAGCAGGTGGCACCAAGAATGTTCTTCTGGCCCACGACAGTACAATGAGCACTTCTCATAAATTTGGAAACAAAAAATTTTATAAATAAATAAATAAATTTGGAGTTGGGGCCCCAAAAGGTTGAGTGGCATCAGATGCAGCTGGATCCATAGCAAACCAGAGTGATGTGCAAGCTGAAGTTCAGGGGTGCAGAAAAGTGGAGACTGAGCAAAGGGGAAAGCCAGTCTGCAGAGAGAAGTGGGGGGACAGCAGACTGACAGCATGCAGGCCTGAGGGCCAGGAGGGGCTGAACATTCTGGATCCTGCCCTACAGTGGCCATCTATGCCCATCATAGGATTGGCCTGATAGCTGCTTTCTCTTGCCCAATGTCAGCTTCCCCTTGCTTGTCAGCAATACTGTTTTCTGCTGGTGACCTTGCCCCTCACCCCAGCCACATCAGTCTACATGATTCTGGTTAGGCAGGTCCCTACCTGGCGTCAGGGCTGGGGACATCACTTGGGACTGGCCTATAGCATATTACAACCCCCTGACCACAACGATAGGCTTGAGGAGCTGTATTTGTGGTGTAATGAGAGGCGGCTGTAGGCTTCCATTCTAACTAAAAAGGTGTTCATTTCTGCTCAGATGGCCTTACTGGTAAGAAATAAGCCTGGCACAGTTAGAAGCCATCTGCTTGCAGACTGTGAAAGACCACTTGACAGTGGGTACCAAGGAAAGCAAGCCCAGAGACCAAAAGTGACAGACTGGTGGCCGCATCCAAGCATCTGGATCCAGCCCTGGCTGAAGTGGCTACATCCCTCCACAGAACTCTGCTCCCAACCAGCTCAGATGGGGGGTCGACTGAAAAATATGTGGATTCTCAGCTTACAGGTGATGACACCCAATGCACAGTGGCTTCTGGGGGAGGAGTCCTTAACTCTCCTGTCCCAAAAGTCTGTGGTCAGCAGTTCAGCAGTCTCTACCTACCTCAGAGGGGGCTCATATCTCTGTAGACTAAGATGCACCCGCCCCTTGGAAGAAAGGACCAGAACTCTCTCTCACCTGATTGGCTGCCGAGGCTTAATGTCAACTGGAGGTGGGGCAGGCACATCCTTAGGGAAGATGTCAATCCACATGTGAAGAGATCCCTAGGGGCAGAGGACTAGGTTTGAGGGTCTCGCTCGGGTCCCCACCACCCAATAGGCGCATGCTCACAGGTTATGCCCTGCCCCTAAAGGAAAGAGAGCTGGGAGAGGGCCATCCAAACAGATCTTGGAGGATGGGCATGAAGGTAGAGTCTGGGCTTAGGATTACAGGGTCAAGGTCTGGTTAGGAATTCAGGAATAAGGACCCAGAAGTGGAAGATAGGGATCAAAAGTAAGATCTGCTGTTCCTAAGGTCCAGATCTTGATGAACAGGGTAGAAGTCAGGTTGGGACCCTAGGTTTGCAGCTTGGTGTCCCAGGGGTAAGGATCCTATAAGAGCAGACTCAGGAATGAGGCAAGGGGTCCCAGCATGGAGGTCCAAGATTCCAAGACTGGGGTAGGGTGCTGGCAAGTAGCATCAGGCCCAAGTGGAAGTCTTAGAGAAAGGGTATCTGGGGGCTCGTGGCCAGAATCAGGAGGGAATCCTGCGATTCTGTGAGCCCTGCGTCAGGAATGTGGAACACTCCCTTACCTGCAGCAGCCCTGGGCTGCGGGGATGGTAGAGGGGCCGAGTCTCTACATGCTCAGGTACCAGCTGGATCCCCAGCCCTGGCATCTCCTGCCAATGCCGCAGGACAAACAATGCCTGGGCCTCCTCAGAGGTTCCACTTGCCAACTGGGGACCCCCACCACCTGAAACAAGAGGTACATGAGCTTGGGTTTCACACAGTGCCAGCTCTCCCTTGTCCCTCCTGCCCCTCCTCAGCAGATCTGCACTGAGACTACAACAGAGTTGGGTAGAGTCCACGGACAGGTCGGGGAGGGGGGCAAGTGGGCCACACACAAAGTGGAAGGGGCTTGCTGAAAGCCAGCAGTCAAGGGAACCAGGGCACAGGAGGGGCTGTAGCCTTTGCTCAGATCCTGTTTAGATAATAGATCACTGGCCATTCGTGGGCATGAATTCAGCTCTGCTGCTGGATCATGCTGTCATGTGGACACTGTGGAGCTACCTTGCGATGTGGAACCGTGATAGATGTGGCTCCACAGGGTCCAGTTACCCAGCATTCAAGAACCTTGTTCTGACTCAGTCAAACTCACATTCTGCCCGCTGCCTCTGTGGGCTCTTTCAGGGGTGCACTCAACTGGTACCAGGCTCTCTGCCTCATACCACCTCTACTTGTTCCCCTTGGCCTGTCCAGCACAGAGGGACCAGTACCTGGAGGCAGGCTGTCAGGCGGTGTCAGAAAGACTTTGCTCCCCACCTTGATGGCCCCAGCTCGGTATTCAGGGGCAGGGAGGCCACAGCGTTGGCACAGCCCTGCCAGGATCTGTGAAGGCCGGAATGCATCACGCCAGGCATTATACCCTTCCCTGGGGGCAGGAAAGGGAGATGCCTCAGCTGGTGCCAGTGTATGGACACAGACAGGAACAGGGCAGGAGTGAGGACCCTTGAGGACATGGGATCCAGGTTCAGCACCCCAACAAGAGACAGGTTGTCCTTGTTCATAGAAATGATGAAAATCAAAGATATCGATTCCTTCTATGAAGGAAATAGTGTTACCATTTCTATCTGGCAGATGAGAAATTGAGGCCCAAGAAAGTGAGTGACTTATTAGTTACAGGATCCCAACACCCAATCCAAGCCTGGCTACTGGTGCCTTGGCAAGGGGTGGTCAGCTCCCCTTCTGTGCCATTTCAGATCCAGAGACACAACTGGGAATTGACCCCAAATGTGCTGGGTCAGAGAAGCAGAAGCACTCCAAGGGCCCTGCCAGACTCACACGTCATACTGGGAGGCCAGCCCGCAGTTTGCTCTGTGATGGCTGAGGAATCGGTTTTCCAGATCAATGTGGGTCTCTCCGATGAGATCATCAGAACCCACAAGGTCATGATCAAACACAGACACGGTCAGCTCTGGTTCAGCTGGAAGTGAAATGCTCAGCTCCAGGACCCTGGCCAAGAGAAACTCAACCCTCAGAGGTAGTGTGGAGTGGGAGTGTGCCTCACACTATCACCAAGCCAGGTACCTGGTGAGAGCCCCAAGGCCACAGTGCTGATGGCCACGCTGGTCCCCCATTCCCAACCCTAAGACCCCGCCTCACTCTCCAAAGATAGGGTTGAGCTGCTTGGGGATGTAGCGCTCCTTGGTGTCCTGCCGCTCCTTGCCGGCGCTCACCACCACATAGGGGTCAGCTTTGCCATTGGGATCTGCGGGAGCCAGGTTGGTTGCCTAGGGGATGGCATGGAATGGAATTGGGAAAAGTAGCATTGTCGTAGCCCAAACCAGACCCTTTTTGGGTCTAACCTCAGAATAAGTATATGCAGAAAGCGACCGAGGGAGAAATCTCCCACTGAAAGTTTGGATAAGATGAGTTTTCAATTAGTTAGGAAATACTTGAAATATACAGGCCAGGCCTGGCAGCACATGCCTGTAATCCCAACACTCAGGTGAGGCAGGAGGGCTGCTACAAGTTCGACCCCTCCCTGCACTACATAGTGACCACAAGACCAGCCTCAATTACATAGCAAGATGTGTGTGTGTGTGTGTGTGTGTGTGTGTGTGTAATAAAAACTTTGTTGAAACAAAAAATATCTGTCTGAAGGTATTAAATCTACAAATTTCCAATACTGGGGATTGAACCCAGCTAATAAGGCAAGTACTCTAGATAGAGGAGGGGAGGGCAGGCAAGGAATAGGGTATAAAAACTAAACAGGAGCCAGTGAGATAGCTCAGGGGACTAAGTGCTTCCTTAGGCAAGTGCAAGGACCAGGGTTCCACCCCTGGCACCACATGCTGTGCCCGTCCCATTCCCTAGGTGTGCTGAGCCAGCACTGGAGTCCGAGCATGGTGGCACCCGCCTGTTATCCCAGCACTGGGAAGGCTGAAAGCAGGAGGAGCACTACGAGTCCGAGCTGCATAGTGAGACCCTGCACATACACACAAAAAGAACTGAGCGGTGTTACACATGCACCAAACCCCAGGATGAACACACTCATTCTACACTGCAAACACGTACTAATCTATCCCTGAGCTGCATCCCCAGGCCTGAACCTTCATGTTTACAATAAGCATATTTCCATCCTCATCTCTGCAATAAGCCAAACCCTTTACTTGGGGTTATTCACTCACCTGTGTATTTTTATACTTTTACTCCACGAACCTCTATTCCTAAGCAATACATCGCACTACTTTGTATGTTGTTAAATGCATGTTTTAGCTGGGTGGGGTGGTGCATGCCTGTAATCCCAGCACTTGAGTTTGAGGTCAGCCTAGGCTATATATTCAAAAAATGCATATTTTAAACTTTACAATAAAACAAATTAGTAAATATAACTTCTGCATGAATGATTAAAATATAATTTATATGCAACTATGTTTTATACATTCTCACATGCAATATACAGTACAAGCATTCCAACTGCTCTACGCCTTTTTTTTTTTTATCTCTACACCTTTACAAACATTTGGTGTTTATTTTACTGGGTTATTCCTTTGTTTGGGTCAGGGTCTCATTATGCAGTTCAGGATGGCTTGAACTCAATATGTAGCCAAGGTTGGCTTGAACTTGCAAGGATCTTCCTGCCCCAGCCTCCCTAGAGCTGATCTTACAGTTATGCACCACCACAGCCAGCACCAACATTCAGCATCAGCAATCTTTTTCATTTTAGCTAATCTAGTATAAGTGACACACTAGCTCATTGCAATTTTAATTTGCATTTCCCAGAAGACCATCAACGCTGAACTGTTTTTCAGGGGTTCACTGCCCACTGTGTGCCTATGTGCACACACGCGCAGTGCCTGTTCAAATCCTTTGCCTCACCATTGAGGCTCCTGTTGTTTCATGCTTCTAGGCTCCACACCTGCTAGACAACTGCCATCTTTCTACTGAGCTGCAGCCCCAGGCCAAGTTTTTATTTTTTGTGTTACTGAGATTGAACCCAGGGCCTATACACTGAGCTACATCTCCTCTTTTTTTTTATTTTTCATACTCAAGTTGCGCACATTGGGCTCAATCTTATGCTCTTCCACATCTGGCTGAGCCCAGGCTTTTAGCCCCTACGTAAGTATGCAGTCATACCTCAGTGAGACTTTTATATGATTATGAATATGAATTATTCATATGATTATGACCTTCCTCTTTCAACAGAGGCCTGGTTAGCAATGATATTGGACATATTTTCATATGCTTCTTACACAGTTTGATTCCTTATTTTGTGGACAGTATCTGTCTATGTCTATTGCCAATTTTTCTATTTGATTATTATTTTTCTGCTCATATAGTCTGGATATTTGTCCTTGTTAATTATATGATACAAACATCTCCCAGTCTGTGGTCTGTCTCTTTACTCCTTTATTGGTGGCTTTTGCTGAGTGGAGGTTTTAATTGTAATAAAATCAACTTACTGATATTTCATTTAATGCTGTTTTCTTTAATCATCCCTATCCTGTATGGTCATAATAGTATTATTTTTAGCTCTTTCCCATCTTGTAAGATGGTGGGTGAAAAAACTGAGAAGCCAGACACTGAAAAGAAGAAACCCAAAGCCAAGACATCTTCTGCCAGTTGTACTGCTAAAAGGGTAAGGTGAAGGCAAAAAAGTCCAAGAAGGGGCAGCCTCAATGCAGCCAAAATCCTATCATGGTTAGAAGAATTGGTAGATACTCCCAATCTGCTGTGTATTCTAGAAAGGCTCTGTACAAGAGAAAATACACAGCTGCTAAATCAAAGGTTAAGCAGAAAAAAAAGAAAGTTCTTGCTATGATCACAAAATCAGTCGGTAGGGACAAGAACGGAGGTAGCTGAGTGGTTAAGCTTCAAAAAATGCCTAGATACTACCCTACTGAAGATGTACCCCGAAAGCTCTTGAGCCACGGCAAGAAACCCTTCAGTCAGCGTGTGCAGAAACTTCGAGCTAGCATCACTCCCGGCACCATCTTGATCATCCTCACCGGGCGTCACAGAGGCAAGAGAGTGGTCTTCCTGAAGCAGTTGGCCAGTGGCTTGCTACCTGTGACTGGGCCTCTTAGCCTTAATCATGTTCCTCTACGAAGAACACACCAGAAATTTGTCATTGCCACCTCTATAAAAATTGATATCAGCAAAGTGAAAATCCCTGAACACCTCCCTGATGCTTACTTCAAGAAGAAGCTGCAGAAACCCAGACACCAGGAGGGCGAGATCTTCAACACCAAGAAAGAGAGACACCGGATTTCAGAGCAGCGTAAGGTGGATCAGAAAGTGGTGGACTCACAGATTTTAGCAAAAATCAAAGCTGTTCCTCAGCTCCGGGGCTACCTGTGATCTGTTTTTGCTCTGACAAATGGAATTTATCCTCATAAATTAGTGTTCTAAATTTCTTACTAAGAACCTAATTAAGTAACTGATACATTAAATAAATGTATTATTTTTAGCCTCTGAAGACTTTAACATTTTTTGTTCATTTGTTTTTTTAGACAGCATATCACTATGTAGTTCAGGCTGATCTTGAACTCACTATGTGCCCTAGACTGATCACAAATACTCAATGATCCTCCTACCTCAGCCTCCCAAGTGCTAAGATTCCAGGCAACGAAGATTTTAACATTTAAGTCTTTGATTCATTTGGAAACTAGACATATAGCTTAGGGAAACAGTATCTGCCTGGCAAGAGTGAGGTCCTGAGTTTAGTTCTCAGTACCAAAAACAAAAAATCCATGTGGAATTTAATGTTCAGTAAGAGGTAAAGGTTTGCACTTCACTTTTTCCCATTATGTAAATTAAAAATTTTCTAGCATCTACTATTTAAAAGTCCAGCCCTTGCTTCTGTTCCAGAGTTTCTTTTTATACCTAACTTCTGCCTAAGTTCTAGTAGTCTCTATTTGATCCAATGGCTTACACATGCATCTTGGTACTGGTCTCACACTGCCCTTGTGCTTGAGCCTTCCTAGAAGCCGGGAAGGCAAGGAGAAGGCTCCCCTGCTATGACCTTACTCTTTCGACAGAGGCTGGTGATTCATGGCCTTTTTCTTCCTTAGACATTTTCTTTTTTCTTTTCTTTTCTTTCTTTTTTTTTTTT